ATAGTGAGATCAAGGCCGGCCTGGACTACACAGTGAGACCCTGGCTCAAAAAAACAAGAAAACACAACAAAACAAAAATCTCAAAACACTGAAGTCAAACCACATGGCCCCAACCCACACACACACAAAATCAGCAAACAGGACTGCAGTAGACCATGTGATGCCCCTACCTGACACAAGCAAATAGGTTGTGCAGGGCCAAGTAGAGCACCTCCCAACCCCAGGAGAGTGAGCGAGTCACCACCAAACCATGCAGCACCCCCTTGACACAAGCAGCAGAACACTCCTGACTGCGCAGCACCCTCACCCCTCACCCCTGACACAGAGGGACCACTGTCCATCAACTCCAAGCCAGCTCTACATGTGGTTCTGCCTGGCACATGGCAGTAGAGGCAAGAACTAAGCAATCAAGCTGATCCTGGATGAGGACAATGCCCAGGGAGAGAAGGGAATGACCAGACACCACAACTTCGGTACTGAGTCCTATTGTTTACTTAAACCCTCACCCCATGGCCCCAACCCAGCAGAGACCTGAGGGCAAGTCACATTTTCCATTTATCATGGGGTGAAAGGACACACCTTGACTGACCTGGTAACCAGTCTGGGTGAACCAACAGAGGGCCCCAGTGCAGAAGGTCACCTCAAAGACCTATACACCCTAAAGGAAGCAGAGAACATAACTGCCTGGATCCCAAGACAGCAGATCTTGGAAATAAACCACTCATTCAAAAACACAGCAGTGGACTGGGGAGATAGCTCAGAGGCATTAAGTGCTTGCCTTGCAAGGTCAAGAGTTCAATCCCCGGTGCGCCACTCACACACACACCCCACAAGTTTGCTTTGACTCAATCTTTTATTAACTCTAACTTGAATTATTTTTGTCTTTCCTTTATTGAGTTTTCTGGGAGTTTTTTTACCCCTCCCCTTTATTTTCTTTCCTATTTTAGTTTCCTCTTTTGTTTTCCTCTTCTAGCCTTTTTCCTCTTTTTATTTCCTGTATTTTGCTGTCATTGTTCTTTTCCTTCTTCATTCCTCCCTGCAAGAGCTCTGCATACTACTGTCCCCACCAGGACCCGACCCCCTCCCCATCACACTTCTCTCCTCATTCTCATATCCCATTGAATAACTGTTCAAATGTGACTTGGTCACCCTCTAGTTTCCCCTCTACCTTTACTAGTACACCTATTAAACTCCATGAATCTCTAGACAGTTATTGAGCATTACACTACTACTGCAGAAAACTGTTCTATTATTAGTACAGATGAAGTTGTTCCATTTACTAGATATTCATTATAGGTCAACTATCAGTAAATATTTAGTTTGTCTTAGTGTATATACTATAATTATACTTCTCTTTTTTATAGTTAGGAGTGGTACATTATTGGTTCTTAGGGTTTGTGAATACTTAGTTTATATTTGATATAACTGATAATGACTTTATTACCATAGCTGATGTGACAAAGCTGTTGCAATTACTAGTGTTCTCTGTATGCCAATACATCTTGATAGCCTTGGGCTCATTAACAATACTGTGTCCCATTCCTGGAGAACTGGGTATTGGGCCAAATACACTGCAACCTCCCATCCCACATAAACAGAGGTGATTGGATCTTGGGACAGAGGCAAAGGCCAGTAGTTAGCTACCCCCAGGCACAAAAACAGATGTGAAGGTCAATGGAACAGAATACAGGACACAGAAATAACTCCAAGAACATTCAACTATTTGATATATGACAAAGGGGCCAAAAATGTATCCTAGTGGAAGGATAGATTCCTTAATGAATAGTGTTGTTTAGAAAAGCTGCTATCTACATGCAGAAGACTGGATCTAGACTCATAACTTAGACCCCTCAGAAATAAAAGATCCAATAAAAAATGGAAAAGTGAAATGAACAGACGTTTCATAGAAGTACAAATGGCCAATAAATAAATGTAAAAGTTCTCAACATCACTACCCATTAGTGAAATGCAAATTAAAACAACACCGACATTTCATCTTATCCCAGAAAGAATGACCATCATCAGGAAATTAACTAATAAATTCTGTCAAGGCTGCGGGGAATGAAGGAATCCTTCTAAATTCTTGGTGGGAATATAAACCAGTACAACTACTATGGAAATCAGTATGGCGATTCCTCAAAAACTAAAACGAGAAATTCCATTTCATTCAGTTATTCCCCTTCTAGGTATCTTCTCAAAAGAGTTAAAGATACTATATTTTACAGTGATAACATGCATACCAATGTTCATAATGCACAAGTCATAATCATTAAATTTTGAAAGCAACCTGCATGTCCATCAACAGATGAACAGAAAAAAAGACGCGGTATTTAGACACCATGAAGTACTACTCTGCCATAAAGATGGATAAATGAGTCATTTATAGGAAAATGGATACACCCTGAGACCATAATATTAACTAAAATAAATCAGGCACACAAGCTTATTTTATCAAATGTTTCTATCATAATGAGAAATGTTAACTACAAAAAGAATAAAATAAAAGGTAATAGGAAGTGGGGGATAGAACTTCTCAAATGGTAAGAGGAATCAAGAGATGAAGGACGGCAGGGAAAGGGAATGAAAAGATGTCTTATGAGTTGGGGATATAGCTCAGCAGCACAGCACCCACCTGGCAAGCATGAGTTGCTGAGATCCATTCCCAGTATCAAAAATCAGATGTATTATATAAATGCACCAACTCCACCCAAAATGTCAACATTATATACTGTAATATGAACTACAACAATTTTTTTCTTAAAGAAGTAATACTAA